CTGAACACCAATCCCATCCAATTCATGCTCAGATAATATTAATTAAGGAAAATAAACTTATTTTTATTATTAGTCTAAGCCAGTGGTTCTCAAAGTGTGGGAGGGAGACCCACTGAGGGTTTTTTCCAGAGACCCTTCCAAGGGGTTCTGATAGGTCAAGCTATTATTTGTCTTTCTCATGATCATTCACTCACAAGTGTACAGTGGAGTTTTCTAGGGCTTATCTAATGTGTGATAGCACAACAGATTGAATGCAAAAGCAGATATGAGAATCCAGTTCTATATATTAAACACATTTACAAAGAGTATTTAAAATACCACTTCTCACTATTTTTTTGGTTTTGAAAAATGACACTTTTTAATAAAAATGCTATTTACACAACTTTATAATGGGCTTAATAATTGAAAATAAATATATTTTAGTTCTCCATTTTAATTCGTAGTAAAGAATGTATCAGTAGATGTAACCTATGTAAGTAAGAGTTTTTAGAGTTCTTAAATTTTAAGAAGGTAAAGGGTTCCTTCATTTTAAACTTGAGAACTACTGATCTAGGCAATTAGCTCTAGATAAATCTCTTGCCAGTTCTGTGCCTCAGTTTTCTCCATTACAAATTACAGGTATGAAAGCTAAGCCTTTCTTATACTCATACTGGTAGAATCAATAACGAGATCACATGGTGAACTACAAGCCACCATACAAGTATGCATTATGGTCATCATATTATTAGAAGAAAACATATCTATTACTTTGTAGTCAATGCTGTGCTGTTTTGTGAGTATCCATGCCATTACTCTTACACCAAAATTAGGTCTTCCAAAATGAAATGTTTCTGTGAAAGGACACCAAGGAGCAGTCCACTATAAAGCATCATCCTACCCCCCAAGCTAGTGACTTCAGAAAAGCAGGGATTTATCTTACAGTACTAATCCACTCTAATAACCCAGTAGGACCCTAACAACATGGAAACTATTTCTTCTATGAAACACTTTTTACCCTAAAGCAACATCTTTCAATTGTATAAGGTGTGTCCTTAACACTAATATGCTGAAATTTAGCACATTTTTTAAGAACCCACTAAATTATATTCCCCAGATGTTTAAAATATTTTTAACATGTAATCTTTACTTTCTATATTTTCTGATCTCGAATCTAAACTGACTTCTAGAGTATATTTAAAGCTCCTTTATTCTCTGATTCTTACATACCTAAATGAAAAACACAGCTGTGGATAAAATTACACAGAGCTATACATAAACACACACACACACATACACACACACACACACACACACACACGTACATGGAAACCTGGTGGGATCTGAGTAAGGTCTGTGGACAGTACCACCATCAATTTCTAGGTTGTAATGTTATAATTATGCAAGATGTTACCTTTGGAGAAAACTGGGTGAGGGGTACACAAGACCTCTGTATACTATTTTTGTTAACTTATAATCATTTCAAAATAAAAACACAAACAAAGGTAAAACTGGGCAATTTATAGAAATTTGGAAAGACTATTTCACCAACTTCAGTAGAGCTCCATATATAGTCAAGTGAGTTCTATTTAAAGAAATGCTAAATATTCATAGTAAGATTTGCTTCAAATCTTTTGTCTAATGACTGTACAGATATTGACAAAAGACTGTCCCTATGTGTCCTATCAGTACAACTGCCTCAAGAATTTTTTAATGTCATTACTAACCATTAGGGGCCTATCTTCTTCTTCATTGTCATCATAAGTAGAGTAGACACAGTTGCTTGACCATTCCTCAGGCTCTTCAGAGATTTCTGCAGATTTTGACATCTCACCCCAAACTATAAGAAAAACGTTGTGTAGCAATTATTTTAAGGTGCTGGTTCACCACTGGGGGACAAGTAAAAGCAATGTCATACTCAAGGCTGCAACCTTCAGTGAATCAAGACTAGTATCGTGCTTTATATAAAAAAATTATCAATTAGGTTGCGCTATTTTATAATTCAACATTTCAGAAAGGGGCTGTCATACACTTCTTTTAATTTTTAGAATGGTTGCAAGTTGGTGATGATGGAAGAGTTGTTAAGAGTAATAGGTAAGACACCTAAAAAATTAGCTAGCATTTGTTGCCCTTAACGCAGAGAAACTAAAGCAGATACCTTAAAAGCAACTGAGGCCAATAGGAAAAGGGGACCAGGAACTAGAGAAAAGGTTAGATCAAAAAGAATTAACCTAGAAGGTAACACCCACGCACAGGAAATCAATGTGAGTCAATGCCCTGTATAGCTATCCTTATCTCAACCAGCAAAACCCCTTGTTCCTTCCTATTATTGCTATACTCTCTCTACAACAAAATTAGAAATAAGGGCAAAATAGTTTCTGCCGGGTATTGAGGGGGTGGGGGGAGGGGGGGCGGAGTGGGTGGTAAGGGAGGGGGTGGGGGCAGGGGGGTGAAATGACCCAAGCTTTGTATGCACATATGAATAATAAAAGAAAAAAAAGAGTAATAAGTTAAATAATGTTTTATAGAAGATTTACCCTTTCTTACAGAAAGTCAACTGCTCCAAAAGTTTTCTATAATATTTTTACTGGTTTCAATCAAATAGTACTTCTTAGCTTCTTCCTGGTGTTACTGCTATTTTTATTTGGCTTGTCCCTCTTTCTAGGCAGAGACCATTTGTTTACACATAGTATGCCTCATAAGAGCCTGCATGTAGGAGGTGCTTAATTTAAAAAAAAATTGAATTGATTTAGATTAAGTGATAGAAGTCACAAAATAACATCTCACATTAAACTATTCATGTGACCTTGGAAAAATCATGCTAACCTTCTCTGACATGGTTTCCTTACCAGTCAGACAAAGGCATTGATACTAGGCTCTCTTCTTACTGCTTTGAGGACCACAATAAAAAATAACCTGAGGGAAGTGACCTTTAAATGAATAACTGAAACTGAGAAAGGTCATCATTACTTGATTCTCCTCAAGTGGTGGAAAACTCTTTCACCTTAACAACCATAGTATTTAAATATTGAGTATCAGACACTCTATTTGGCATTTCTCCAGGGGAGTCTATGCTGTAGATGCCAGAGTTGTCTAGGTGATCCTGCTTTGTTCTCCTACAGAACCTTGTATTTCCCTCGTGTAATACCACATTTACTTTCAATTGCTTGTTGAATTATCTTCTACTCTTATAGCTTTATGAAGATAGTAACTGAGTCTATCTTTGTTAGACTTCATGGTCCACACTGCACAATTCCTGGCACCTGAGTAGTGTTATGTTAACATTTGCTGAACTAAATACATTGTTTAAAATCACTTTAATTAACATAATTCTTATAAGAATTATAAGAATTCTCTAGCTCTAGCCATGAAACCATGGGTAAGTAAAGAGTGCATTCCTTGTAGCCAGTATGTGTGTTTTATTCATCTCTGCAACCTCTATTTCAGGGGTTCCAAAACTCAGACGGATCTGAGTCATCTAGAGTGCTGGTCAAAATTCCAATGGCTGGGAACTCTCACATAGTTCTGATGCAGAAGGGGCAGAGAGAGTCAAAGAATTTCCACATAAGTTCCCAGGTGATGCTAATGCTATTGGTTCGGGGACCACATGTTGACAACCACTGCTCTGTAGTGCCTACCAGAGTGTTTTGCATATATAAGACATGAGAACCTCATAAAAATGGGTTAACTTCAATTTCTTTATATAAAAATAATGGATGGATAGATTTTCCAAATTAGCAATGGGAGAAAAAAGCTTGCACAGCCATGAATCTCATCTTGGGATGACCGTTACACATACCTGTATTTACTTCTGCCTGAACTGACACGACTGCCTCACTGACCTCCACCATAGCATTGGTATGTTCCGATTCAGTTTCCTCAACAATTATAAGAGCTCCCTGTTGCTTTCTGAAATAGTAATGTATAAAAATAAGTGAGCTTTTATACAAACTAAGAATAGAAAGAAATTAAAAATGATATTCTTCCTCCAATACCATGTGTTAAGAAGAAGCTGAGAATCTATTCAAACAGTTGATATGTCCCCTATTTCAGTCTGTGTGACAATAGCTCATAATATACAAAAGCCTACCTCCTAGGATCCAAGTCAGCAGGTTCTCTGCTATGCAAAGAAAAAACTGCTTGCTTTTAGATCCAACACAGGTATATTGTGTACAATCTCTGTTGCTCTGCGGAATTCTAGCTTTAGTGAATTAGGTAAGGCAGATATAAATGAAGATGAAACCTTGAGTTAACTCATACTGCAGAGTTTGTACCCGCTACTGTTAAGTCAACTACTACATGAAGTGTAAGTGTCTTTGTTTCTATACTGTATGAAAAAAGACTAAGTATTGTGAACCCTGGAAGATAGACTTTCACATTGACTCAGGTTCTCCAAATTCCCACAAGAAACACTGCACGTCGCCTCCGATTTTAGCCACAAAGATGATGAAAACAAAGGACAACCCAGTATTTCTAAGTCATTCCATGGTCTCTACATTATTTAGGTGCTGTGTAGTGAATCTCTGGGCCAGGGCTTTAGAATCAGAGAGGAAACTCTTTCTGCACATATGCAAATGTGGACATTCAGCCTTTTAGAATTCCTAGAGGCAGAATACAAAGACCACAGCTCTAAACCAGCAGTGATGCGCTAGAATATAGCACTGCCACTTTCCTTCAAAACTTTCTGATTGTGTCCAGGCCCAGCTCTTTCCAGGGTCCATACCTCCTAACTATGTACAAAGAAAGATCAAATCATCAGCAAATGGTCTCTATCAAATGACTATAAAGCGATAAGCCAGTATTTCATGTGCTCTGTTCCCATTTTGTCACATTTTTACAGTTCTTTCTCTGATCAAATTGAAGGTGACCAAAAATACTCTGAAGAGAAAGCAATGAGTACAGCCATATTTACTGTAAGCATATGTGTAACTCTCCTCAGGATATACTGAGCACAAGGTATTTTAGTTGGATTAAAAAACTAACCTGTTAGGTACTCTCATGCTCCAATGTAAGCCTAGAAATGAGAAAATGGTGTGTTTGTGCTACTTGATATATTACTGCTAAAATGGCAGATTGGCTTTTGGCTGAGATACTTTAATTACATTGTTTCATATCATATATGGAAAACAGAAGATTGCAGGAGTGACATTTCTTAAAGAATTCTCACTTACTCATCATTCTGCTGAGGAGAAAGATTATCCTGTTCTGTTAACTGATTCTGTTGCTTCCGTTTTTTAACTGTGAATTAAAACAAAGCTTACATAAGCATTATTGAGAAGCCACACTTGAAAACCAATTTCCTTGAAGACCAATGATTTACACACCAACACACACACACACACACCTTCCAAGAACTTAAAGGGACCAGAGAGAAGCCCCATCTGGAATCTGGAAAGATCAAAACCTTGCAATATTTTTTCAAATATCCTCCCAATCTCCACTTCCTGAGTAACTAGGATTGCAGACTTGAGCCAGTGTGCCTGGCCCAGTTTAACAAACCCGTTCATTATAAATAGAATAAAGTAAATATCAGCCACATCACCACAAAGAATTCTCACAAAATCTGAGCTAATGAGGTATTACTGTACTTCTTATTCTAAAGAATGCCTGTGTGAAGTTACCTGTCATAAGTTCTTGTTGCTTCAACAAAATATTTCTTATTTCTTTTAACCACGACATCTTCACATCTACATTTGGAGCCTAAAGATTAAAAAGGAGGGAAGGTACATTTCCTTTTAAAAAGAATGTTTTTATAATAGAAACAAATGTAATTAAATATATCAAGCATGATCTACTCCCTAAAACACCATATTCAAATTCTACCTTTTTGATTCTTTTTTTTAAGTTACAGCAAGAATTTATTTTAGTTTAATAAGATAAAATAGGGAGAAATGTAAAGATTGAGGGGGAAGCACCTCCTACTAAAAGTACAGGGGTGGGAGACAAGCTCCTAGCTTTTTGACTCTTAAAACTTCCAAGAAGCTATGCATTAAGCAGCAGATTAGATGAAATAATAAACTCAAAATCATTCTGAAATGCCCTTAAGTAATGGAATAACAACAACTGAAGGGAATGCAAGAGATAATTTCACTTGTTTTCTCTCTTCATAGGAGGGTTCTTTTTAAAATACATGCATTTTTATGTTTCATTTTGGCAAAACAAAACAAACTCTAATATTTCCAAAAATAAAACTAATTTCAAAATAATCTTAGTGACTAATGATAACATGAAAGCTTCCCTAAATATTCTCCCATTATTTATGAGAAAAGTTTGTTAAATGATTATTATATCTTAAAGCAACCCAAGGAAAAGTATTTTTATGGATTCTAGTCAGAACGGAATTGAAATAAGCAAAAAGCACTCAGCATGTGTAACACATAACAGCACATGGATCAATCACAAGTCATGATACAAAGATTTATTGAATATTTGATGATAATATCTTGACATGCTCTGATTGGTCTCCCTTTCTTTCATACAGGGTAGACCAGACAACATATCTGATCAGAGCCTTAACCATGTTCTTTAGAAGCGGGGAGCAAATCTGAACCATATCTTGTAATCAGGAATCCTTGGAATGCTGAGGACAAAAGGAACTCAGAACTATTATAATTCTGTAACTCTGAAAAACTAATAAAGACAGAGAAGTACTTGCCAAGCTGTCAGCTATAGCTGATTGGTCCCCTAGTGTAGTGGTAAAAACTGAAAGCCCTAGCGAATACCACGTGCATACCTCAATTTAAAGAAAACCTGTGTTACTCCAGAGGCAACTGCACACCCATGTTTATTGCGGCACTATTCACAATAGCCAAGTTATGGAAACAGCCAAGATGCCCCACCACTGACGAATGGATTAAGAAAATGTGGCATCTATACACAATGGAATTTTATGCAGCCACGAAGAAGAACGAAATGTTATCATTCACTGGTAAATGGATGGAATTGGAGAACATCATTCTGAGTGAGGTTAGCCTGGCCCAAAAGACCAAAAATCGTATGTTCTCCCTCATATGTGGACATTAGATCAAGGGCAAACACAACAATGGGATTGGACTTTGAGCACATGATAAAAGTGAGAGCACACAAGGGAGGGGTGAGGATAGGTGAGACACCTAAAAATCTAGCTAGCATTTGTTGCCCTTAACGCAGAGAAACTAAAGCAGATACCTTAAAAGCAACTGAGGTCAATAGGAAAAGGGAACCAGGAACTAGAGAAAAGGTTAGATCAAAAAGAATTAACCTAGAAGGTAACACCCATGCACAGGAAATCAATGTGAGTCAATGCCCTGTATAGCTATCCTTATCTCAACCAGCAAAACCCCTTGTTCCTTTCCTATTATTGCTTATACTCTCTCTACAACAAAATTAGAAATAAGGGCAAAATAGTTTCTACTGGGTATTGAGGGGGTGGGGGGGAGAGGGAGGGGGGCAGAGTGGGTGGTAAGGGAGGGGGTGAGGGCAGGGGGGGAGAAATGACCCAAGCCTTGTATGCACATATGAATAATAAAATTTAAAAAAAAAAGAGTAATCATGAGATGCAACAAACATAACACAATGTGATTAAATAATAACTATGTGATTCTTAAAAAAAAAAAAAGAAAACCTGTGCTACTGGAAAAAGTGAATACACTACAAAGAACATTTAAATGGTATTTAAGTGGCTTGTATGAAAGGAGTAAGATCTTATGAAATTTGATCAAATAATTTTTTTTACCAACTCAAGGATTTTTTTTTAAATCTTAACGTAGATTACCATTTCTAGAATAATCTTTAAATAACCAACCTGTATAATATAAACTTCTTCCTTCCCACCATACCAGATTTCAAACTTGCGGTTATCACCTTTGACGTATTCTGTGATTCCAACTTCATCCATCTATAACAAATAAGTCAACATTGTGATAAGCATTTTATTTTGAATATGAAATTACATTAAACCTACCTCATCATGAAACAGATTTTCTCACTTGAGAAAAATACACATTTTCTATTGAATGAATCTTGAAATGATAAGTACAATGATAGGCAGGAGTATGTATATGTTTTCATGGAAGTATCCCACCTAAGATTGAATTCTGTTATAAATTAATTATACACTATCAAACCAAATCATTGTCAAACAGAGAAGTAAAAGTAATTTCACATCAATGAAAAGGATTTGAAACTAATTTAAATGGTTATTTTAAATTAGTTTCAATTATTTTAATAATTGGCAAGATCAATTAATTTTACAAATTGATTACTTATCTCTACAGAATCCCTACAAGTTATAAACATTCAATTTATAGGGCAGGGAAGAATCAGCCAAGTACACAAGGATCTCTCTATTTCCACCAATCCCTAAGCCTCTACAGAAACCAAAATATCTCTTATGAGACAGTGGTACCTTCTTGTACCCAGTAAAACTTCAAAACATAATATCCCTTCTTTATCGTAGCTTCTTTCTCCTCCATATAGTTTGTGCTTGGCACAATTTTCTTTCATCATTGGCTGAACACCTTGGTTAGTTCTATTTTAGGCAATTTCATTCCCTTGTACACACATTTTCTTTTAGTTCTTTCCTGCCTTTCCTCTTTTCTTTCAATTCCTACCTAATTATCTGAGGAAACATCACACTCTGTTCCACTGATGAGTCCCCCCATGACCCTCATTAAAACTGCTAAGCATTAAGGGTAGTGATAGCTTTCCTGTAACATTAAGGGTAGTGATAGCTTTCCTGTAACATTAAGGGTAGTGATAGCTTTCCTGTAACAAGGGAAAGGAGAGCAATTATGCTTAGAAATGAAACATAACGTTAATGAAAGAGCTGCAGACATCCACCTTGAATGCAGGTAGAAGTTACTTTCAAAATGTCCCAAAATATCTAATTAACTTCGGTTCAAATATTAATATGTAAGAGATGAATTGTACTCATATTCAATCTTTTTTAAAATTAATTTTCTTTCATCACATGGCTTTGTTTTAGTAGTATGATAAACTAGAAAGCAGACAGGCTTTGGAGTCAGAGAGGGTTGGGCTGGAGCTCCGTGTCTGCCATTTACTTAGCTGTGTGTCTTCAAGCAAGTCGCTCAACTTTTCTCAAGTTCCATTTTCTCAGCTATAAAATGAGAAGAACACCTATTTCATAGAGTTGATGTAAGGATTAAGCAGCATGCATTAAATGCTCAGACCATGTAATGAGTTTTGTAAAACATGAATTTTCTTTCTACTCTTTCCCTTATTTGAATTGCAAAAGATTTATTATTTTTCATTGCAAACATACAGCACATCATTATTGATTAAATGAATTTTTTAGTTGTCCTAGAAACCCAATCATTATATATCTGACACACAGTAGGCATGGTATGTATGTTTGTTGTTAAATTAAAATGGGTTACATAATAATGCACAAAGTGAGGAATAGGAAGTACTCAAATCTCTCCATCTGACTAGCTATGACCTCACATAGGGTTTTTCTTTGCCTGTAGGTGGCTGACTTAAAATAGAGCACATAGACATTAGACAAGCATTGTCAGGCCATGGGATTCCAGCCTGGTGTGATGCAGCCAAGATAAGAGTCCATTTTGAATGAGAAGACCCTCAGCAGGAGAGTATCTGCACTGGGTAAGTCCAGCAAGTGTAAGACGTTGAAATCAATAATCCTATTTGTTTAGTAAAATGATAACCAGTAACGCTAACAATTGCTTAGTGCTGGGATCTCATAAGTAAGCAAGTGAAAGCCTCAGAAATACCTGAATTTCCATCTTTCTCAGTCTATATCATCACCATGTTCTCATGGACCTTTGTCTAAAACCTTGCATGCGTAATTAGCTAATTTTTTATTAAAGATATTAGGTATTGCTAGGAAACCAAAGAAGAATCAGACAGATTTTCTTGCTTCAAATGTCAAGTATTATTTATTTTCTGTATCTAGTAAGTCACCAAGTCCTTAATCCTTCTGTCTACTTTACACTGAAATGTGCCCTGCATCTATCCCACTCTCTGTTTCCATGGTAATTATTGTAGTATCAATTATCCTGACTTCATCGCCTCATCAGTCCCCTTCTCCTTACTTTACTATACTTAAGAAACACTATGTTGGCATGCCCTTCATTGTGTCCAATTTAAGGTAAAAATAAAAATCAATAGAAATCAGAAATTCTACATTAGGTAGTAACTAGGTCACACAAGAAATACATTGTAAACCAAATGGAGTTGAGCTACATGTGTTTATGAAGGCAAAGTACCTTCCAAAGGAATAAATTTATAGACAGCAAAGGATCTAAACCATATCTGAAATAGATTGCCATTTCTTGGATCCCTATGAATGTTTATTAGAGTCATTAATAAGCCTTAGAAATCTGGAGACTTAGAGACAGACTGTGAGTATTAAAGGGGCAACTGGACAGCTGTAATGAAGACAGGTTTAAAGGGAAATGTGAAGTTTCTGTGGATTCAGAAGTGAAGCAGGGAAACTAAGACCATGGAAAAAGCATGGGGACCTGACCCTGGGCAAGAATCTTGCTAGGTACAGCTAGGGGCAGCTGACCCTATGGGGAGAATCAAAAGCAGGACCTGCTTATCTGGTCCTGAGGCCTGTCATAGGACATTGCCTGTCCTCTTTACGAGTGTTCCTGAAACTTTCATCAGTTCTCAAATATACTGGTAATGACAACTATGAAAGAACATGCTCATGAAAAAAATGACTAAAATGATTGGGAAATAAAAGAGTAATTGCTGAATTTTCTAATCGCTGTAAGACAAATGTTACATTGCTTTTAGAATTTAAAACTTAGACGATAAAATTCACTGGGTGTAAAAAAATCAGATTCATCAATTACAGCTTCATGTGAATGAGAAGTTTCTCTTTTCTTTTCTTACTATTTTTTTTGAGGGGAACAGGGTCTTGCTATGTATCACAAGCTAGCCTCAAACTCACTATATAGTCCAGGCAGGCCTCAAACTCAAAATTCTCCTGCCTCAGCCTCCAGAGTGCTGGGATAACAGGCGTGCACCACCACACCGGGATTGAAGTTCCTCTTTTCTAACGGCAAGACCAAAAGGAAATATTATTGGGGCTTCAGAAACTTCCCCAAACAATACTGTTCTAATTTTAATACCAAACTAATATTAGGACAGAATGGCAGCTTGGCTCATACTAGAGAATAAAATAATTTCAATGGATAAGATAGGACAAGTACAGAAAGGATCCGACTATAGGTGGCCTTGGATACCCAAGAATGGTGCCAGGGAGTGGAGGAGGGCTACAGAAAGGAAGAGGAAATATGCTAAGAGCAAACGTACTCTATTTTTAAATTGCATGGAGGAAAAGGAAGAAAGTCTTTCTTCATTGTCTCTTCTGCAACATAGAGGCTCCTTTGCTAGCAAGACCAAGTCCCACTGGTAATGGGGTGCTCACAGGGAGCCTGGGACATTTCCTTATAATTCCAAGCTGTGCTCCATAGGACACTAGGCAGCCCCTTGGAGAATGCCTGGGCTTGCAGTGAGGGTGGAAAATAAGGATACAAACCTTTGCATCCCAACTCCCATTCCAGCACCCAAATTCTTTTACCTGACTTCTATATAAGACTTCTACCTTAAGCTTTCTTATAACAAAGAGATGTACAGCTAGAGTACAAAACATGTTCATTTGAACCCAAAAATTCTGAAAAATGAAATATATATAAAACAATACTGTATTACACAATTCAAATTGTCTTACTTTCCAACAGTGCTTAAAACTGTATGACGGATATCTATCAGAGCCTTCTCCAGTTTCAACACGCCTTTTACAAAAAACAACAGCTTTTTCATATAAGAAAAGGTGTCGCTGCATTGGTTTGAATCTAGCAAAATCCTTCATTTTTGTAGCACCTTTCCGGTGCCCTATCCAAACACTGAATCCACCTTGCATTATCATCTTGCCCAGCTCATTTAGGTTTCCCTAGAATGGAAAAATCAAAACCCATTATTAGTACAAAGCACAGCTACATTCAGATCTCTGACATCAAAACTTTAGTGTTTCCCTGATCTACTGAAACCATGAAACAAAATTTGCATGTCTTTGACATGCATTCATTATAACTATTTATGTTACAATATGCCATGCACCACAAATGTGCAAAACTGTTGTGGGGGTGTTGAGCATAAAATAAACCTTTTCCCTGACTTCATATCATGTCTGTGTGGAGACAGTTCACTACAGTAACCTTTCCCCATCTCTTCCACAGTTCTGATTGGTGCAAGACATACCAGGCCTCATTTCCCCACTGGGTGGAGCTGGGTGGAGCTAATCTGTTAAAAGGCTGCAAGCTCTAAAAGTTTGATCCTTTTCTTCCATTATCTACCCTAAACTATTACAAGCAGCAATTCTGGGACCATATGTCTGCTTAGCTGACCCAAACAGTCCTTCAAGTAAGATCTCCCTAGGTCTGGACTGGGCGCAGGTTGTTGAGGACAAGGAAACCATTACAAATCCATTGGACTGCTGCTAAGAAGTCATTTCTTCACTTAGTATTATTAGTAATAATGCTAACATTTTCATCTCCATTTATATGTTATTTCTCAAACAGATTCCAGGAGGTTAAGAAAGAGATGTCAACATGCTTCCCTTAAATTTCAACAATTATTAAAATTTACTTACGATATAGCCATTTATTGAAATCTGATGCATGGAATCATTAACTGACTTCAATAAATCCAGCATTGTGTCCAGGGCCTCCTTTAACTGAGTATATCCTTCACAGCCTTTGCTATATTTTAATAGCTCCTGGGATTATAAATCAGGAATTAAATTTATTGTTAGACGCATATTTAAAACAGTTTTAAAAATAAATAAATTTGGGGTTAACATGCTTTCAAGCAAGAATCCAAAGATAATGTCACTTTGGGAGGTAATTTATATGCTGTCACATTGATACTATGTATAATAGCAATGTCAAAATTGGGGGAGGAGTAGAATAGTGACTAAACAGCATAAATCAAAGGGCATCCAATGCTTCTGGAGCTGAAGAACAACAGTTATTAAGACACATCAGTTATTCAGAAGGCACAAGCAGGACAACTGTGAATTTGAGGCCAGTCTGTGCAAAGTCGGTGAGACACTATCTCAAAAAAATGGGGGATGGATGAGGTGACTATAATCCCAGTTACTCAGGAGGCAGAGATCAGAAGGATTGCTGTTCAATGCCAGACTGAGCAAAAAAGTTAGCAGTACTCCCATTTCAACAACAAAAAAAGCTCACATAGGCAAATGCCTGTCATCCCAGCTATGCAGGAGGCATAAGTAAGAGGACTGTGGTCCAGACCAGCCCTGGGCAAAAATGCATGACCCCATCTGAAAAATAAACTAAAGCAGAAAAGGGCTGAGGGCGTGGCTCAAGTGGTAGACTATTTGTCTAGCACTTGTAAGGCCCTGGGTTCAATCCCTTGTACCGTGCAAAAACAAAAACAAAACAAAACAAAAAAGACACATTAGGGATTAGTTTTTAAAACAATAACACATGGGTTCATTTATCATCTACATACAATAATTTGTGTTGTTCATGATGCATTAATAATGTATTCAGCATATAACACTGTGAAAAACATTTTAAAACAAGCTATGCTGTATTTATGATTAACACAAGATTTTAGTAATCCTTTTACATTTCACTGGGGAAGTACCACTTGTAATATTCACTGAAATGGTTAATAGGAAATATCTCAAAAACCATAGAAATATTTAACTAATTCTTCTTAACACCATTACAAGCTCTTTTGTACATTATGCATAAATCAATGCAATTTGTATGGAGAATTAAATAGTTAACATTCCAAATATTCTCAGCCTATCTATGCCTGTGTCATCTGAGAGTCACTGTAAGTGGAAGGGGCATACTGCACAAATTCTACTGCTAACTCCAGCCTTCCCTCCCCTCGAGCCTACCAATTTCTACTGCTTCCTATTCAGCAACTTCCTTTTTAATGGCTTTGCCACATCTGACCCAAAAAAAGCAAGTAAAAAAATGAACAAATGCTTCATGTTACCTTTAAAAGTAACTGATATTTAGTGATGCGTTGTACTGGCTTGAGTAAATAGGAATCCAAACCAAGTCTGTGCTTTAATTTTCTTTGACATTCCTGTCATTAAAAAATAATTATCAATAAATTTAAATTAAAGACACGTACCTGTGAAAATGCCAAGTGTCCATTGATCAAACCCAATGCATGAGTGTTTCTAAACAAACATGTATCAGAAAAATCACTGCTATAGAAATTGTAAGACACAATGTATCTGAAAAAACTACAGTAAGCAGTATTTCAAGAATTTGGAAGGAAGAAAATTCTAGCATTTCAAAGACTAAAAAGTTTTCACATATAAATTAACATTGATGTAAAATAGGAAAACTTGACAATAGATTACCATGATTAAAAAGTTCTTCAATCTATCCCAGAAAAATTAGCAAAATATTCAGCTCCACAGCCAAAATCCCAGAAAAGAAATACGTTGTTCTAAATATACATCAGCCTGGTATGAGAATAGATTTTTTTAAGATCACAAGAAAAATACAGCTCTTATCAACTGATGCTATATTTCATTCAGTAATTGGCTTGCTACCACTATAAATATAAGGGTCATGACATTGGGTCCTAGGAACATTGTAGGGCCCATAATTAGGGCAAGATTGAGGTGGTTAGGATGAAATGTGCTTATGGGAAGTACATAACACAAAGGAATGGGTGAAGGGGAGACATACCTGAGTAAGATTCAGGCTCCACTGGATATGGATAAAATTCAACATATAATCTGAGTAAGAATTACCAACTGACGCTTAAAGATGGTGAACTGAGGCTTTATTTAGAGCTCTCATTCATGAAACTCAACTAAAATGATGGAAAAGTTATTTTTCATAAGGCAAAATCCAAAAATGAGAAAGGAGAAAACATTGGCAAAAATAGGAAAACTTGAAACCATACTAACAACTGATAAGTGGCTGAACACACCAAAAATGAAGTGAATCTCAAGTTGACAGAGGGAATAGCCAAGGAACAGCTCAATTTATGTTATAGGCCATCCCCCTCCCCTTCTCAAAGACTCAAGAAACATCCTGTACTCCGAAAGTCAGAGATGAAAGTGAGGTTCAAAAGGGATGGTGATTCAGTTTGTTTAAGAAATAATTAGATAACAACAAGTTATCTAATAATAATAATTAGATAACAACAAGTGTTGGGGAGGATGTGGAGCAACCAGTACCCTCATATGCTGTTGGTGGGAAAGCGAAACAGTCCAAAAAGTCTGCAAAACATCAAACACAGAGTTACCATAAAACCAAGAAATTTCATTCCTAGGTACATAGCCAAGAGAAATGAAAACACATGCCTACCCAAAATCTTGCGTAAAAATATTCATAGCAGTGTTATCCATACTAATCAAAAGATGTGAACCTGAGACTGGATAAATACAACCCAATGATTGAATAAATAAAATGGATATATCCACTCAATGAAACACTATTCAGCCATAAAAGAAATACATTAGTGATACAGGCCACAACAAGGATGAAGCTAGAAAGCATTATGCTAAGTGAAAGAAGTCATACACAAAAGACCACATACTGTATGTTTCTGTTTATAGGAAATGTCCAATAAGTGGTGAATATTTAAGTATGGAGCAATATGAAAATGTACCAGTGACTAGTACATTTATCACTCCATAAGCAAAATTGTCAAATTGATAAACAGCAGACACATGTACTTTGATCTTCAACAAGCAAAGTTTTGGGCAAACTGATCAACTTTTCCACTGCTGCACAATCTCCAGTTTCTTCTCAGCAACATCAAAGATAAGAGGAAAAGGAAATAAAAGCTCTAACGTTAGAATAAATGCTCAGGGGAATTTATTAGTGCTATCAAGACATTGATAGTTTGAAGGTTTGTAACATGTAAAATTGCACATATTCCTTTATGCTGACTTTATCATGAAAACTGTCATGGTAATAGAAAATGTCTTACTTGTAAATAAGTATTCATAATTTTTTTACCAATGTTTTTACCTAGAATTTGAAAAACAAAATTTCACAAGTTAAAAAAAAATTGTCCAGAACAATCAAATCTATAGACACAGAAAGCAGATTAGTAATTGCCTAAGGCTGCAGGGATTGGATGCAGTTGGGGGGCGGGGTAAGAAGTGACTACATAAAGGTTTAATGGTAAAAATCTTAAATTGAATTGATCGTGGTGATGACTGTACAACCTTGTGAAACAGTGAAAGTACTGAATTGTATACTTTTAAAGAGTAAATTTTATAGTATTTAAATTATACCTCAAAAAAACTATTACCAAAAAATATAAATGGGCATGAAAATCCAACATAAAAATAAAAGTTACTGAGATAACCACACTACTCTGCACAACTAGGTGACTGCCCTTCCCTTGCCCTGACAGAAGAATGGATATTTATCTAGAAAGAGGGACAGAGCCTCTGGACAAAGAGATACAAGACCTAACTGAGGGCAAAATACTGTATTGAAAACAAGCAGAGTACTTTCTTATCTACCAACCAAATTAGAAACGCAAGCGTTTTGCCCCAACTTAGGTATGACAGTACTGGCAGCCAAATCCTCCTACACTGGGTAGCAGTCTAGCGAATCAAAGAGACAGGACCTAAGGGTATAGGAAATGGCATCAGACAAATAACCCAACAATGAGCACCGTTGTCAATAAATCCACAGTGCACAGCAAACTTCCATCAGAAGGTTCAGGAAAGCATCTAAGATGAATGGTAGGCAACAAACGAAGAAAAAGAAAAACAAAGAAGAAAAGTAATTTAAAGACAGTCCAAACTATGCAGAAAAGAAAACTATTTTCAAAGGAAAATCTATTATCTTCACATATATAAATTAAAATATTGAATGTATGTAAAACAGGATTCTATTAAAAGGAACTTGGAGAGAACAAAAATTGTTCTTTTCAAAATTAGAAACATATTGACAGAAATAAAGCCCTCAATAGAAGGAGTGGAAGATAAATTCCAGAAAGTTATAGCAAAAAATAGAGAGAAAAGATATAATAATTCGAGGGCCAGTCCAGGATATCTAACATCAGAGAGAGAGAGAGAGAGAGAGAGAGAGAGAGAGAGGAGAGAGGAAAGAGAATATGAGGACATTGGAAATTTGGATGGAGAAAATTCAAAGAAAAAAATCATAGTAAATTTGGACTGCAGGCTCCAATTTCAAAGCTATCACAAAAAGTGTAGCATATGAAAATTGTGCTAATATCTAAACTCTAAGGATAAAATAAATTCCCATAAGCTTTCAAAGGACAAAAACTAGATCTCTTGCAAAGGAACAAAAATCAAACTGGCATCAGATTTCTGGACAGCAAAGCCAGAAGTTAAAAGACAATGGAGCAATATCTTCAAATTTCTGAGGATAATTTTTTTCTTACATAGAATTCTGTACCTCACCATACTAGTAATCAGTGTTAGGATAGAATAAAGACATTTGCAGGCACTCAAGCCCTCAGAAACTTTTACCAACCATGCCCACTTTCTCAATAAACTACTGGAGGATGTGTTCCACCAAACAAGGAGGAAAAAAATTACATGGCACCTAGGAAGCAAGACAGCTTACTCAAGAGACAAATGAGGGGTAGCCCAAAAATGATATTCACCAAGATCCCGAGGTAAAATCTGTGAGCAGGCTAAAAAAAACTCTAAATATTACTTTAGAAAGATGACATTTAGAGGAAATCAATATGTACAAATACATTGAGAATTAATTTTTATAATTCATAAAACTGGGAGGGATTGGGACAGGAATTAAGATAAATACCTAGAGAATTAAGTGAGTAAAAAGAGCCATATTAAACCGCATGATTCATTTGAGCAAAGAAATTACATAGTCTTATTTATGAAACACAATATATTAATGTAACCAAAATTACAGTCTAACTATATTGGAAGTTTTAGAGGAAAAGAATTACATGTACCTTACATGCATGTATGAAAATAGAATTCTGAAATGCATTAAATTATAAAAAAAGAGGGGCTAAGAAAGAGTAATAGAGGGAGTACACAAATGCTGCAATTTAATTTGTTCAATTAATATATGTTGAAAATGAAAAAAATTATAAAAAGAGTTACATGCTTATATGGTCATGCAGCGTGGAACAAGTGAAGAGCTAAATCTTCAATTCTGTGGTAAGAAGGAAAAAGACATGTATGTTATTTGGAGATATGGAGGTAAATACCAAGAGACGTAACTAAAAGTGGTTACCTCTGGAGAATAGCAAATATGTGTTTATAGGCCTATGTGTGTGTGTGTGTGTGTGTGTGTGTGTGTGTGTGTGTGTGTGTTTGGATAGGGTAGAATTACTCTTTCACTTATGCATACATAAAAATGACTCAACGTAGAAAATGAATTTATTAATAAGAAATATTCTCATTATCTTCTCAAAAGAATATATTCAATACCTGAGTAATTACTATACCTGGAAAAAGGCACATTCTGAATACTTCTTCCAAACTGTCTCTGATCTGGGCTTATTCTGACAATATTTTGCATACATATGAAAGTCATCCTTCTGTGACAAAAATCAAATTCAAATATATTACCAATTTGTGAATATGAAGTTCTGTTACCAAGAAATGCTCAGCAGGAGAGTATACGGGCACATATCACAAGGAACGTGATAGGAAGGAACCCTCCAGGAACAGCATACCCTTTAGACCTGGCAGTGGGACACATAATTACCCAAGTTAACTTCAGAATTTCTGCTTACCAAGCTTGAGAATTAGAAGAGGGGTGGGGGAAGCCTTCTCTGACTGAGCTATAAAAACCATTTTTTAATAGCCATGAGTTAATTGGTATGAAGAAGTATGTTCTTTTTATGCTATCAGACCCTCAGTTCCCTAGTGAAGGAATTGTAGCTAACTTTCAAGTTAGATTCATCATTGGGATATCAAACATAATCCATCAAGGCATCTGCCTGTGTAGTTTTCTCTCCCTTATCTACTGGCCTATCTCATGCTCATTCTTCACCATTCATCTCATGAGTCACCTCTTCTTCAAAGCTGCTGTTTAACATCTCCAGTGCATGGAAGATGACAGTCTTTTGGGGTCCCATTAGACCCTTTGTATATCTCTAATATAGTGCAACTCATTCTGTACATAATTAATGTTTTCCCTTTGCTTGATTCACAGTAGGTATTCAATAAGTTGCTATTGAATGAACATATCAATAAACATTTATGAAACCACTCTAGCTGTTGAGAACTGTGCTAGCCATATGAATACTATGAAGATCTATAGGATCCAGCCCCTATCACAAAGAGCTTCTCATCAAGTTGTGGACAGAACTGATGTATACACATGAAAAGATGCACATTAAGTATAAAATCTCCAATGAGTAGCATAGTCCTTATATACTAGTGTCCAAAGGGAAGATAGATGGCTGCTGCTTGAGGAAGTTGGGAAAGAACTTGTCCCGTCATTCAAATGTGTTCGAAGTTAGAACATATTGAGAAAGATAACGACATGTGGTTCTTTCTTAGCCTTATTCTCTTCCCATTTCATGAACACTTGGTGGGAAACTATTTTGAAGTTTTCAACAATCACCTCTATCCAGTTGACTCCCAAATCATGACAAGGAGAAACTAGAAAAGCAGATGGGTAAGGAAAAATTATTCTGAGTGCCAAGTGTGGCAGTGCATACTGGTTAACTACCACTCAGGAAGTCAGGTCAGGAGAATCATGAGTTTAAGGGCAGCTTGGGTTACACAGTGAGACCCTGTCTCTAAAAAGCAACATTGCGAGAGAAAATTCTAACAGAGGAGAGAGCACAGTTGCTAACCTGGGAAGTCAATTGTACTAAGCCCCCTCTTGGGACATGGAGTGATGAGCCTCCCTGAATGATTTTGTTGAATAAAAGAATAAACAGCTCTCTGTTGTGTGAGGTCCCTGAGATAGGTAGTGGCTGAGAGCCAGACTGGATATAATCTTAAGACTTTACATGCACTAGAGGAGGTCATCAGGTATCTTTTAGGCTAAAAATTAACCAAGCCCAGAATGATTTTGCTAAGATGTTCCCAACTCTCACATCTTCATAGCCAGGGTTGTCCTTGGATTCCTTTGAATCCCCTTCTAGGAGCTGAGCCACTGGAGCATTTGATACCACAGAATACAATGCATGCTCTGGAAGGCACATCACATCAACATCTGCAATAAAACTTGGTTTGGCATTAAGTATGCTATGCGCTAGCATTGATATCCCTTCTCCAAAACAGAAAGACATTTTTAAAAATAAGCATACCTCTAAATCTATTCTTTTTGAGTGAGTTCCTATTTTGGCAACCCATATTGATATAATTAAAAAATAATAATTTGACTAACCCTTTCCAGGAAACAAGGTCCCACTCTTTCTGGAGCATCAGAACAATTTTCCAGGCTGCTCATGAAAATGCTGTGAAATTTTCAGAAAAACAATATTTATGTAAAATAAAATAAGTTAGTCAATAGCCCTTTTAAAAATATCATGAAAAATTCAATTTGGAAATTACATACTTGTTATGGAATTCATATATTTCTGCCATATTTCCAAAGAGGATATCCTTTTTGTTTCTCAGGAGAGGTGGCATAAGGTCAAACATCTCTGGATTATCCATCTCTGCTCTATAGCCCTACACAAAAATAAATACATTTATGTATTTTTAAATATTTACATTAACATTTGACTGGGCCACCAAAATATAGGTAAAGCAGAATACATAAGGGATTTGTGGGTGACGTTGTTTGAATTTTAACATTCAAATCTCCTAGTTACCAAAGTTATCTATGACTTTTTTTTTTTTTGAAGGCAAGACGGGGAAGTCAAGTTTTTCAAAATATGCAGCATAATGAAACCCACCAAACACTGAAAAAGGGACTATAATAGAGGGGATGAATTTGTTCAAAGTATACTGTATACATGTATGGAATTATCACAATGAAACTCCTCATATGATTAATGTATACTAATTCAAAAGATAGTAAAACTACTTTTCAAAAAACAATAAGATGGCAGCTCTTTGGCTTTCAAAATTCTTGCAGTGCTGCAAATGATACCAAATCTGAAAATTACAGTACAGGTCATCAACTCCTCCCTGAATTGGCAACAAGTGTTTAGGCTTTTTCAGACCAAATTAATATTGTGCCATTTATGTCAAATGAGTATTTTTATCCCATTCTCAGTTCTTTGCATCACGATCTCCAAATAGCACCCTGAGAATATTTGTAACAATCCACTGTGTTCCTAAGAGAACAGCTTCTCTCTTCTGTAATAAATTCTGAATCAACCCTTCCCACCACTAAGCGATTCTGTAACTATATGCACTTAAACAACATGCAGCCTCAAACAAAAGGAGAAATATTCACTGCTGTCATGTGACAACCAAGGACGAGACAGAAATAGAAAACTGCCTCAAACGTTTTCTAATGAATACAGTAAGGGACCACTTAGGAAAATGGGAAAAATACAATTTGAGTTATTTACCAACAAAACAGTAAACAGCTCTCGAACATAGACCCTCTCTGTCTGTATCAGCTCATTTAGGACATGGCTAAAATGAAAAGATCATTAATTATCAGTTATTCTTCTATTCAAGAATTGTATTATACTGTTTCAATTATTATCATTATAAATTACAGCTAAGGTAAAAATAGCTAACACATAGGAACTATCAATAGTTTCAGTTTTAGCATCAAAATACGAAACTAATTTTGTGGTTGTTAGAATAAGTACCATCTATAAGACTCTAAAATATGTTTGAAACAAAGGGGGTTGTTCAGGGGTTATTGTTAAATTTAAAAATATTTCTTAATCATTATGATTAAAAATCAATTTACTAAAAACTCATAAAATCTATTTCTAAGCATCTGAGGCTTTTATTTTTTGGAATAGCACAGTTTCTGAGCTTAGTACTCTCTCTTTTTCAAAAAAAAATAAAGATATTATCGTTTTCAGCACCATTTTCCCATTCCCAGTAATTTTCTGAATTTTTCTAAGGCATGCAATAGACTTATTATACTGAGCTTCCTGTGTGTAGATCATACTTAAGTCTCTTCAGGAAGTTTGTACAGTGTCTCTATAAAATTAAATATATTTTCTTTTCAATGTGATTTCCAACCAATATTATATTTAAAATTCACTTCCCTCCCCCCAATATAAGTAACCTATTTAATTTAACTTCTTCCTTTGGCCCTGTTTTGTTCTTGCTTGCTTGCTCTTTTTTTCTTATGGTTTTAAAACATTTAACATTTAATAGTCTTTGAAAACATATCTCCATGCAACATGCTACAAACTATAACTCTGTGATATGAAATTTAAAGATGCATATTCTTAAGTCTACAATGTTAATATCACACTGTAAAATTTAGCAAAACAATGATTATTATTCATATCTATTAAACAGCATCAATATAATCCTTTGTAGTTTTTGGTGAACTGTTTCATTAATTTTCACTTCTTTTTAAAAAGAAGAGACAATGTAGTCAAAGGGTACAAACTTTCACTTTCTAAGTTCAATCAGTTCTGGGAATCTGATGTACAACATGGTGACTATAGGTAATAATGCTGCACTGTACACTGGAAATTTGCTTAGAAAGTAGATCTTAGACATTTCGTATCCTCACCATAGAAAAGGAAACTACATTAGGTGATAGATGTTTTAACTAACTTGATTATGGTAATCACTTCACAATATATACAAAATCAAAGCATCACATTGTATATTTTATATACAATTTTATTTGTCAAATGTATAAAGCTGAAAAAGCACTTTTGTTTTCCTTTCTAATCTATAAATGAAAGATGAAAATTCTGCAAAAGTCTAGTTTATTTTCCTCAAATCATGTAAACAGACCATAGCTTGGTCAGGCCTACATCCAGGTCCTCTGGCCTAACCACATATGCCTTAAGCATTGAACCAGACCTTCCTCCCTCCTACAGAGAGATGTGTATGTAAGTTTATGGTAAAAAACAAAAAAATACTTCTTTAAAATATCCAAGCTATTGTCGTTGTTCAAACTGGAAGGTTGACCAGAACTTCTGTTCTCCCGACAATCATGCGACCCTTCAGTCTGAAAAAAATGAAAATAAAACTTAAATTAGCTCCATGTAGCTATAATTGTTCATCGAGGACGTAAAGAGCAAATTAAGTTCACTCTAGGTCCTAATCTGTAGATAAGCTCAAAAATAACAGTTTTTTTTCAAAAATAACTTTGATATGTACTTTGAGATATAAGATACCAATTGTGATTTATTTTGTACATTTTCATTTGTTTGGCACTTTGGAGAAATGAAGTTAAATCATATAAAGTTGATTTTCCACATAACTAAAGTTTATTCATAGAAGAACCAAAACAGTTCTTTAGCCTTACTGATATTTTTTTGGTGGCACTGGAGTTTGAACTCAGGGCCTCACGCTTGCTAGGCAGGCACTGTACCACATGAGCCAGCCCTTTTACATGTTGGGTATTTTCAAGATAGGGTCTCACAAACTATTTCCCCAGGCTGACTTCAAATCGTGATCCTGATTATTGCCCCTTAAGTAGCTAGGATTAAAGGGGTGAGCCAATGGTGCCCTGCTAATCATAATGATTTTTGATGGAAGCCCTTCTAGAAAATATTACATGCATCCTCGAATTCTTTAATCAAGGAGATATAACATAATTGATCCTTTTAATAATGACTCAGTGGTATCACCACAAACTTGAGTATTATAAAATCTAATGATGCATTCCAGGGCAGATCTGTTTATTCTTTCTCAAAATGGCTGTAACTTGTATATCTCTTACATGATATCTATGATGGCTAACTGCTCTTCAGAAGCATTTGAAACATACTGCTGGGTAGTTGAGCCTGCCAAAAACCTGACCTCCCAGTAAAGGTAACATTGCTTTGTGACAAGTAGAATTCAAAATGAAGTATAGGGTTTATTGATTTATCAGCTAAATAATATTTCCAATGTGACCTACATATCACAAATACTTATGGAAAAGAATAAACATTTATTACAACTTTCTATATATGAGGCAGGCATGATCTTAGGTGCTTAATAGGCAGCATTATATCCAATCTTCACAGCAATTTCAAAAGCTATGGCATCTTCTTTGAAGATGGGCAAATTGAAGCTCACAGTGGTTTAGTAACATGGTCAGTAATAAACGATGAGATAGTCACTCCCAGGTGGCAAAGTCCTTGGTTTGGCACTTTTATCACATTCTGTCTTGCAGGGTGTGTGTTGATTTGTTACGACTGGCAAATGTATCAACCATTAGCATTTTAATATTATAGCTAAGACTAAAAACACTGCATATTCCACTTATCAGGTATCTACATGTCATTTAGCCCTAATAGGGCTCTAAAACACAGGTGTGGAAAGACTTAAAACACACATTAATACTTCTAAAAATATAAGGCTTGTTAGCCAGACATGGTGGCACATGCCTATAATCCCAGCACTTGGGAGACTGAAGCAGGAGGATCACAAGTTTGAGGCCAGCCTGGGCTACATAGTGAGATCCTGTCTCAAAAAAAAAAAAAACAAAAGAAAAGGAAAAACAATCTAAGGACAGTTAAAATTGATTTGAATCAGAAGAACTAGGTGTTCACTAGGTGGACACCTCACCAAGAAAAAGTACACAGCCATAGCCTCATAATTTTCGTGGGGGATATGGAACTGAATAAATCCATGTATAGGAATAGTAAGGTGCCTTGAGTTGAAGCTAGAATTGAAAGACATGTTAAGACTATGGAATTTGGCATTCACCTCATTTCCTTGAACCAGAAGTCGTGGCTGTACATGATAATGAGGCCTTATATATCAATATAGACCACTCACTAGCCTGCTAATATGATAATGAAAAACTCAGAACACTCCCATATGCCATGCATCATTCCAAGTGCTTCATAAATATTAGATTATTTTATTTTTACACTGTCTTCATGATGTGGGTGTTCTATTATTATTTCCCCTTCATAAACAAGGAGATTAAGACCCAGAGAATTTACCCAAGGTTATACAGTAAGTGATGGAAGAGGCAATAAAAGCCAGACAGTTTAGTTACAATTTGTACCACTATGCTCTACTGTACTGCTTCTTGGAAATATGTTCTTGTCTTTATTTACTATTAGGAACACACAAAGAAAATACAGGGTCTTGCAGGTATGGGACTACTGTCTGCTGATTGAGAAGAAAGGAGTCTTGGACAGCAGTCCTCTAGACTTATCTTCTGAGGGGACTTCCAGAACCCCAAGAGGGTGCCCAAAACCATGGACAGTAGTGAACCTTCTGTGTACTAAGATATTTCCCATACATTTGTACCTATGACAAAGTTCAGTTCATAAATTGGGCACAGTTAGAGATTAACAACAGTAACTCAAAATAAAATGGAACAATTATAACTACATATTATAACAAAGTTATGTGAATGTGCTCTCTCACACTCTCTCTCTCTCTCTCTCTCATTCTGGAATTTTTTATCAATATTTTTGGCCCATAGGTAACTGAAACTGTGGAAAGTGAAACCAAAGATGGTGGGGCAGCGCTACTGTATATATCAAGAAACAAATGGATGTCTTTTCAGCACAGAGCTAGCCTCTGCATGGTTCATGAGAACCTGGTCTCTCTCCCTGCTTCATACTTGCGAGGTGGGAATCAACTGTTCATGAAAGAAAGCTCCTTCTCTGAAAAGGTGTGATATTATTGGAGTTTACAGAGGTGGGGGATGAAGAAAAGCTGGAACTTATATGCAGTGCTCTACAGAAATGATTCTGAACTTGAGCCAAGACTTGGAAAAACTATTTACACATCTGGGCCTATGCCAGTACTGCAATTAGACAACAATGCAACAGTAGGTTTTCTTTTAGATGAAATAGGCTTTCAAACATTGGTCTATTAAATGAAACATATGGTTTAAGCCCACATACCAATTCTGCAACTATAGCAATAAAGCCAAGTTTGAATTAATTAATGATATTTACTTTTAAGTTGCTCTGATTTTGTCTCCAAGTCTTCTTCCCTGGAAGAGAAATTTGAAAGAATTTCAAACCAGAATTAAAATCACTCTTCTAATGAAAGCACAGCATATTTATTAAATAATTAAAGAGTTAATATTCCAACATGTTTATTAGTATTGTTAAATCATACTACAGAAGACAATGATTATTTAGAATTAGCTAAACAATTTTAACTTTTTGCTGAATATGATTTTGCTACATACTCACCCATTCTCTCACTCATCAAACATTTACTTACTTGCCAAGCTCGTAGTTAGGTATTAGTGCTCACAATTATTTGCAGATTTAGTGTTCATTCTGACACATAAACATACAATCAGATTGGAGCTTGTTGAATAACTGGATCAAAGATTTGTTTTAAAAACTCCAAGTTTAACCTAGTAATTAGAGCATCCAATATTTATTTGATACTTACTACATCTTGAACACTGGTCTAGGCCCTATGAATGCACTTTCTTTTTTGATCCCCAAATCCAGTGGAAGAGGTAGGTAATGACTGCTATCCCCCATTTTATACATAAGGAACTAAGGTTAATATCTTGGTCAAGTAGAGGTGGTATTTAAATCCATATAATCAACTGTCAAAGTACATATTTTTAACCACCACATAAAGCATTTCCAAAGCATACTAAAATGTTCAAAAAACTCTTCGTCAAAATCCAAAGCTTTAATCTTTATTTTTAAAAATATGTTCAGTTTACACAAGGTGAGCCCCTGTATAGTTAATCAAGGAGTCTAATGTTCCCAAAAAGTCAAGTGTGCAAGGCTATCACTCATATTGGCTTTATGGGTCCTCTCTCTTCTTCAAAAGAAAGCATACTTTTTGTCCTTCTTGGCATGATCCAATATCAGGCACACACAGGGAAAGGATGTGATGCTATCTATACTCCATATTCTCTAGACTGCATATTTCACTTTAATTTTTTAAACTATATGTCTGCAGATGTATGTATGAACTTTGTATTTATAGAACCATATATAAGTCTAATATATATATATATATATTAGACCACATAAAATCAGTTTCTCAAAAAATACTGATGTGTACCACTTTATAGAACCCTAATAGATAGAGATTCAAACTTATTTCTGAAGGTAACTTAAGGAATAATTATTAGTTTTACTAACTAATTCTTTGCAAACACATTAAAAGATTTAAAAGGAATAAATACATGACCTTGCGGCCTACAACTCTTTCTGAAAAGCAAGGTAGGTGTATTCATTTGTTCAACAATGTAAATACATACAACATGACTGAGTACCTAAACAATATGCCAGGTTCTGTGTTTGGGGAATGTACAAGATGAATTGCACAAAGACCCTGGCTTTGCAGGGCTTCCAGTCTAGCAGATGAGACAGCCAAGTATACGAAAGCTGAGAAGAAACAGGAGGCTTGTTATCATGCAGTGTGAACACCTATGTGAACTGAGCTGCAGGGGAGGAAGACACAGGAGAGTGCCCTTTAAGAATTTCAAATGAGGAAAATTGCAAACATAGGTCTGAAGCTTAGGAGAAAGATCTGGACTAGAGATTCAAGCCACATTTTACATTTTACATTTTGTCCCTGACTGGCAATATCCTTTTATAACTCTCATCTGTAGTCAATGTCAATTTAACAAATATTTACTATGCCCTGCTAGTTGCCAGGCACTGAGCTAAGTGAAGGATTGTACTTGATGCAAAGAAAAAAAATAAGCAAAAAAAAGTTTGATTCATTTTTATAAAAAAATAACACATGCTTTGATTTGGTTGAATCCTATATACTTGGTTTAAGGTCTTAAAATTTTATCTGGAGTGGATCATTATAATTCCCAGTACTCACTGAGCAATGGAGTAAAATGAACAAGGTTTGTAGCATACATAATGCTTTGGTTTCATTCACAAACCATGATGGATAATGCATAAAATCATTTATTCATCCATGCCATTTATTCATTAAGCTGCCTTCATCCTCATAAATATATTAGGCAGTCTTAAATTGAAGTAAACCCAAATTTCTCCCAACAAACACTAGTTGAATTGTGAATGGCATGAGTCTTTAAAAATGAAAGAAAGCCTGGTTGACTTTAACATTACTTTTTATTTTCTTTTTTTGAGCATATTTATGAAAGATACTGAGTTTTTGAAGCATAGTCTACTTTTTACATAGTCATTGTCCAAAATAAGTTCAATGCTGAGAAAGACTAACAGATGATGGCTATGAAAAAAGCAGGGGGAAAGTTACTTGCAGGCAGAGCTCAAGAATAAACTGCTGCTGTTTTTAGATGCCAAACTGGTTTTTTACATGTTCATAAACTCAGAAGATGTATTGATGATAATAAAGAAGGGTACCTTGTGAAAAAAAGTTTACATGCTTGAAAGAGTATCCAACTCCCACTGCAGAAAGAAAGTGCAATGCCATTAAATAAGAATATCAGAAAGAAAAAGCCTGAAACAATACAAAACAAGTTTTTCTTTGAATGATTACTGGCTTGAGGAGGTCTTAGACAGTATGCTAATGACTCTGTTCTTCACCCCAAGGCGCACTACTTCAGGAAAAGGTAAACTTTTAGGAAATACCAAGAAAGAAGCCATAGCCAGAAAGAGAGGATAGTGTAGTTTACTGAGTATTTCTTACAGTCTGCAAATGCTTTTTTTTCCTTTGTCCTCACCAACTCCTTGAAGTTGGCAGGTACAACTGTCCTACTTTTTAGGCAAGGAAACTGAAGCTATGATAGGTTAAGTGAACTATCCAAGGTCACATAGCCAATGGAGTCCAAAATCTAACTGGAGTTTGTGTTCTACTTAGGAATATCAATTTATCCTATCTTTAGTATCAAGCTGTTGGATTTTATACCTTTATTGCTTTTTGTTGTTGCTCTTTTTAATTTTTTTTCAATATCTTTGCTATTTCCAGTATCTCTGATATCTTCAATACACTCAACATTATTTATTTAAGGCATTGTTAATAGTTTTGAGTGTATTTGTACATTTCATAAATACTGCCTATGTAGCTTTCATCATTTTAACCTAACTACCTGGTTTCATCACCTCTTTTTAATTTGATCCATGCTGCGATGAGCTGTATGTGTATGCTTGTTGCTCCTGACTCAAGTCTTCTCTGATTTCAATACAGTTCCCTATAGTACTGAAGTATCTGATTCTATTTAGGTCAGAGAGACTGGATTTAGTCCCATGTTCACCCATTCCACTAACTTAGGGCCTCAAAGACCAAATTACTCTCCCTGAAGAGGGCCCAAGGGTGGCTCAAGAAAAGCCTTGCAGTAATAGACCCATCTTATTTTCAGAGTAGTTCAACACCATTACAAGGATGATTATCTTTCTGGCAGAATTAGGAAGGAAGTGGATATCACACAATTAAAATGGACTACAGAGATTAAAACTAGAAAATGGGATCTAAACCAGGAAATTACCAACAAAATTATTCTATTTACCTGCATGTATTTAGAAAAGGCAAACCATCCTATTATCTAAGCTGCTTATATACCAGAAGCATGTAAAAACTAAGTAATAGTTTACTAATGTAGTATACACATGAATGTATATATTAGTTTCATATGCTTTCCTTTACCTGCTGAATAAGAGTATAAATGTTTGATGCTGATAAAATTTTCACACTCATTTCTCAGACTAGAACACTCAATCTTGAGATGTCCATCGCCTTGCACGATTCTGTGTTACCACCATGTTTTATGACAACACAGTAGTCTCAAACTGAGTCCTGCCTTGTACAATAACATTTAAACATGATGTTACAAGAAAATTTCAATTTGTTAGGATTGAAGAAAGAATTCAGTATGCCCATCAAGTGTAGCAAAATAAACATCAGCAAGACAAGAAGAGATAGGGAAGGTGAACGAAAGAGTTTACCATGTTTGGGTGAAAAAAGCATTGTTCCAGGTCCCATCAAAGTTTCTGGTGCTGGTACCACAAACTCCATTGGCCTCTCATGCTTATCTGTCAGGTTCCTGAAACCAGCCTGCTGGGTCTCAAATATACTGCGAATATTTTCAAGCTTGAGTTGTACAGTCTGCATTTGAATCTGTAGGTTGCATAAGAATTCTATGAAATGTTTCCTAAAATGGGTCATAACAATCCCTGTTACATTGCTCTGACTCAGACAATCAAAACATTAATTTAGCCAGGTGTTGGTGGCTCACGCCTGTAATCCTAGCTACTCAGGAGGCAGAGATCAGGAGGATCACCATTCGAAGCCAGCCAGGGCAAATAGTTCGCAAGACCCTATTTTGAAAAAGCCCTTCACAAAAAAGGGCTCGTAGAGTGGCTCAAGCAGTAAGAGCACCTGGCTTTCAAGCGTGACGCCCTGAGTTCAAACCCCAACCATCAAAAAAATTTTAGAGTTAAAAATATAAGTGGAAGAAATTTAGGAAACTAACAGAAGTCAGATTAATGTATTCTCTTCACATGGATATAAAACCATCTCAATGAAAAACAAGCTGAGAAGAAAAGTATCAAGCAGTCATGGAACTGGTTGGTGTCTGCACACACTGATTTGCCCTCATTGGCTGGAAGGGAGAGTTGCTGGAAAAGACATCATATTACTCTTTCTTCTTTAGCATAAGAAAGTCACTAAGTTATACAAACAATCTGATGGACCACACTGTCGTAGTGCTTTGTTACATTTTAGCCTGCAGGACATTCTCTTTCTAGTTCTCTATGCTGTAATGGCTCTTCAGAGCCACGAATGGATAATACATCTGCCCCTCCTAGCTGCTTTGAGGCAGCTAGAGTTAAGCTTGATTGCTTCCAGAGAATCACTTAGTTATTGCCTCAACCATGTTCCCGATTTTCAGGGGCATCCTCTAGGAGTTGCAGCTAAGTGTGCATTTAGGTACTGTGCCAACCGTACCTATACATTTACCAACACGTAGTATCACAAGCGCTGTTATCTATAATTAAGAGGAGTCCTTCCTGTCATCTCCAAGGAACAGTATTGAACCAATCCATACCTCTCCACCCTGCTTAAACCAACTTCTGCTTCTGCCGTTTTCCCTGAGAAAACCCAGATCCTTCCTTTATCCCTCATTCACAAACAGAGTAAGAAAGCAAGGTTTGTGTCCACAGAGCATCTGTGGGTGGCCACCTCAGCACAAAGGAAAGGTGTTTGAGGTGAAATGTACTTGCCATGAGCCCAACATTATAGCTTTGGGCCTTTCTTCAAGGATACACAGGAAAATATTTGTGGGAGCTCTTAGTATGTTTAAAGAGTTTTAAAATAATAGAGTCAGAACTCAAAAAGGAAATTACTCTTCATTACATAGCAAGTTTATACACCTTTGGATTTGTTGATGCTTCACAGTGACACTATTATGGTCCCCAACCCTCAAAGACTAGGCATGTGCAGACTGCCATAAAGTTAGCTGTGAGACAGTAAAACTCTTACACTATTGTAATTTAACAGTTTTTTAATTTGTTTATTTGAAAAGAAGTGCCTCTTACCTTGAGTTCAGGAGATAAAAGCATATCAAATTCACACTGTAGGGTTTCGCTGTCATAATGTATAAAGGGCAGAGCCATTTCAAGAAAATTTTCAATGTTTTGAAGTGCTTTCTGAGCACCTTCTTGAGACTGAAACTTGTCTCCTTCTTGATTAGCTAGAAGACATTCCCCTTCATCACAGCACTGTAGAGCCTGGTAAGAGAATTAAGGGAAAAACATGTGAATGAATAAAGACAAAACAGGTTTTCCATTAAAAGACAGGTCATCAGCCCTCATTTCTGTCACTCAGAATGGCTTTCACAGCTGTTAAAAAAAAGATCTGGGTTCCTACCCCAGAAAGTGTGATTCAGGAATTCTGTGCTGTCAGCCAGACATCTGTGCTTTTCCAGGGCTCCACAGGTATTGCTGTTCTACATCCAAGGTTGGGAAGCACTGCATTTATTTCCTAACAAGTAATTTAATCTGCAGCAGGAGTCTGACCATTTTCTCTACACTAACACTTTAGCTGCATGTTATTCTCAAGTCAATAGCTGAAATATGAATCTCCTAGCAAAATATAACGTGTAATATCAATGCTTAGTGATTTCCAAAGACAAGAATAAAGGTTTTCTTACTAGAAAAGGAGATGTGCAGATTAAAATGTTTATGTTCAGATATGAAACCTGTAACTGATACTCCTATTTTATTTTCTATTGCCAAGACCAGATCTGTAGGGTAGCCTTTCAATTCATTACCGAATCAGAAAAGGGGTCAGATTAACAAGCCATGGAGGACTATTTTCCAAACAAATACTGTTTAATTTTCAGTGTTGTGCTATGAAATGTGGAAGGAATTTCAGGCTTCAGGAAAATGCCGACAGGCTTTTAAAAGTGTTCCGAGTGCAAAGGATCACCAGTTGAGACTTCAAAGATACTCTCAAAATGGAAAGGGTGTGATCACCACCATGATCGCAATATTCAAAACCGAGTAAACTTGGAACTGTACTGAATCTGCCATGAATATTGCATAGGTAGATGTATTGAAAGCCATACTCAAGCTCAGATCATAAGACCTCTTACAAATTTAAATCCCAAGCTCTACCAGACCCTGACCTGTTGTAGCATAAAGGCTAAGGGCAAAGTACCTTAGGCTGAGAGGACCCAGGGAAGAAATTTACACTCTTTTTCAGAAATGGATCATTTCCCATCACACTACCTGCTGCAGGAATTTATGCATTTTGAAGATCCTGCCGAGCTGTATCCGTTTTGCTTTGATCTCATTAACCAAAATATCAGAAAGGTAACGTAGCTCATTGCATCTCTGGCAGATTAAATCAAGAGCATAGTGGTGATTTGCCGCAAGCCTGTGACCATGCAATATCACATACCGGGCTTTTGTTAATAGGTCCTGGTTTTAAGAAAGAAAGAAAGAAAATAATGACTATATGATCTCTGTTCATATAGAGGGGAAAAGGACAATAATTAAAAAGTGAATTGCTTGAACAGGAGAGATACATGACAAAAACCATGATTTGATATTATATCCCTGCAAGCTGAAAAAAGTTTACAGTTACAGTTAACTACCTACAGTAGTGATATCATCCATCAGAAGCTTATGCATTTCTGGTCACAGATACTGAATTAGCCATCCCATCCCACTAAGAATGTCCACGATTTTCACTTCTCCAGGTATGGAGGACACATTTTAAAAAGAACTACACATATAAACTGAAGTATATCCCAGTCAAATGAAAGCTAACATAATTCATATCATCCCAGCCTTGGATATTTCATTCCATTCATCATTCACCTGAATACTTTTAAAATACCTAAAGTGAACACCAAAAAGGACCTTAGTGGCCTTACCTCCACTCTGTTAATTACTGACTCTCCCAGTACAGTGAATGAAACACAGCAGGAGCTCAAGAACACTTATGAAAGCAAAATAAAGGCCTGTGAATGTTGGCACATGCCTAGAATCCCAGCTACTCAGGAGGAAGAGGTAGGAGGATAGTGAGTGGTTTGAGGCCAGAGCAAGCAATGTTAGTGCAAGACCCTATCTGAAAAACAAACTAAAAGCCAAAGGACTGGGGCCATTGCTCAAGTGGTAGAGTGCTTGCCTAGCAAGCACAAGACCCTGAATTCAATCCTCAAGACTGAAGGGAAAAAAATCAAAATAAAACAAACTGAAGCCCAGATGAGGAAATGACTAGCCTATCTAGCTACTGGGAAAGCCACGCTTAAAATGAGGATCTGCCTTGTAACGAGTGTGAGTTGCAGTTTTACAAGGTGAAAAAGTTCTGCAGATTCAGAATAATGTGAATATGCTCAACACTACTGAACTGACACTTAAAAATGGTTAAGAGGACAAAATTCTATATTATACATTTTACAACACAATCAAAGATGAAAACCTGTATTAAAAATAAAGCTCCCTAGTTTAAAGCCAGTTTACTTTCTCTTCCTACTGTACCAGTGTCTACATTGGGTTTGACTGCATATAGTGGTCATTTAAGGAATTGTGCTCTTATATGTTTCCATCATTTCCAGGCACCAAATATCATTCTTCTATTTATTTATTTGCTTATTATTTATTTATTGTGGTACTGGGGTTTGGACTCAGGGCCTCATACTTACTAGGATGGTGCTCTACCACTTGAGCCATAACACCCAAGCCTTTTTTTTTTTCCTCAGGTAGGGTCTCTCATATTTGCCCAGGGCTGGCCTCAGATCATGATCATCCTACCTGTGACCTCTCCTGTAGGTGGGGTGACAGGTGCATGCCAACACACCCAGCTTATTGATTGAGATGGGGTTTTGCTAACTTTTTGTCTGGACTGGCCTCAAACCTCGTTCCTCCTGATTTCTACCTCCTGAGTAGCTGAGATTATAGACATGAGCCACCAGGTTCAAATATCATTATTTTTTTTGGCAATACTGGGGTATGAACTTAGGGTCTCCTGCTTGCTAAGCAGGCACTCTATTACTTGAGCCATGCCTCCATCCCCTTCAAATATCAGCAGCATCGAAAATGCAATCAGTAAACATCTAAAATGGAATCTTACCTGAGACTTTTCATCTAACTTTTCCAGTTGTTTTATTTTTTGTTTTACTTGACCTATATTCCCTGTTATATCACCCAACTGCGCTTGTTGATTTAATAAACATTCAACTTGAGTCACAAGCTAAAAAACAGGAAATAAAGATTTTAAAAACATACAAATAATTAAGCATTTTCCCTTAACAGTGATCAACAAGAATGTTGATATGGAACAAAATTACACATATGGAAAATATATTCAGTTATTTTATTCACAGAAAGATATAATCTGTTAAAATGTAACTTTCCGGATATTGATGTAGACTTGTGATTCTACACAAGATCACTACGTACATGTGCACTCATACATATGTGTACATGTATTTGCATATGACTATATACAAATATGTATATTCCAGCTTTGTGGTGAATGGTCTGGAAGAAAACACACTCTGGTACCATGAGCACACCTGGCACCCAGACACCTTCAACTTTAATACATTCCCTAGAAAAGAAACCAAGTTTCCTGAGGAAAATGGCCACTTCCAAGGTAGAAAAGGTACAAGATGAGACTTGAATATCTCTTCATGTCAGAAAGTAAGGAAGTCAGTTTTTTTAAAGGTTGGAACAAGTTACAAGGATAGAATAGCCAGTTTGAAACACCAAAGGAATTAAGAACAGCGATCAATTATATACATGAAAAATTTAGAAACTTAGGAATCAAATAAAGAAATGAGAAGGGAAAGCTCAGGTTTCAACAGGATGCTTACTATGGACGGGTAAATGTTAGAAAATCATCATTTTGCAAGCACCCCAGTAAAGATTGGTTCAGGAAAGAAGCATCAATTGATGCTAAATCTCTGGACAATTGTCACGAGGAGCAAGATATCTTAACCTTCCTCTCCACATAATTTCTATAATTTACAAGGAGGGAAGGGTGAGTAATGTCACAGTGAGGAAATTCAACAACACTCCGGCTGATTGATCAAAATTCATATCAACAATGGGGACAGGTGGGCATCATTCACCTCCAGATGTCACACCCTGAGAAGGTCATGCCAATTTGGTGGCTTTCTAGTTGATCATACATGTCTACGGCCATACCACCTTGAACATACCCGATCTCGTCTAGTTGATCATACACAGACTAAATCTATGAGAAGATGTCAGACAAACTCAAAATGAAGTTTTATTTTACAAAGGACTGTATAACTCATTGCACCTGTTATCAGATGTGCTTGTACCTGTGTCTGGGTTGTGTACTATCTTTCTATCTTTCCTTTTAATAAACTTTCTTAGTCTCTAAAAAAATGTAAAAAGGACTGTATTCTCTGAACTAAAATGATGCTGCTGCTGCTACTAATGGAACATGAATGTAAAAGGGAGACTGCCAGCAGTGGGGAAAGCAGTGGGAAAGGGGAAGGGGAAAAGAGAGAGTAGGGGGAGGTGAAGAGGATCAAAATAGGTTTTTTATATATATACACACACATATACATATATGAATACAGCATAATGAAAGTAATGAAACACTGCTTGAAAAAGGAAGATGAGAGGAAAGAAATATAATGGAGGAGTGAATTTATTCAAAGTACACAGTATGCATATATGGAATTATCACAATAAACCCCCTTGTACTATTAGTGTATGCTAACTTTCAGTGGGGGGGGCTGGTGATAGCCAAGCATAAGGCCAAGTTCACCCAAAGGACTGTATTCTTCAAAATGATGCTAATCATAAAAGACAAAGGCTGTGAAAACGTTCTAGATTCAAGGAGACTGAAGGGACGTGACAACTTAGATTTGATCCTGTATTGAAAGAAAAAGAAGAAAGGACATTATTGGATCAATTGACAGACCAGGAATACTGATGGCAGGTAATATAAAAGCATTGCAGTGGTGTTAAATGTGCTGAAGTTGATTAACCCTAGTGTGTTATATAAGAAAATATTCTTATTATTAGAAAAAACTAAAGTATTTAGAGGAAAGGCACAATCACTTATACAAACTTACTCTCAAATGGGCCAGAAAAAATAATTGTTGCCAAAAAATATTATTTGTATATATGAGAAAAGGAGTAGAAATAATAAAGCAAATGGGGCAAAATATTATCAATCAGTTACTCTAGAAGAAGGTAAATAGGTATTTCTACTTTTTTTTATTTTTTGAGACTGTAGCCCAGGTTGGCCTTGAACTCACAATTTTGTGGGTATTGGGCTGGGGAGGGAAGAGGCACAAATAATGGAAGGAACAAGAGTATTTTAAACTATTCTTTCTTTAAGAAGGGTTCATGGCATTTCAAAAGTTCTCTGAATCAAAGAACTGGCTGGTAGTAACTGGGCCCTGTGTTTAGAAAGCAGTGCCCCACGTACTTAAGTCTTCTAGAACAAATAAAGTACTATGCAAGTAATTCATTCATGGGCAGAAAACAAGCTAGGCACAGGCAAGAGAGAAGAGAATTGATTTTCCCTGGTGGCCAGCCAAGTCCTGTTCTTGTAGCATCATGGACAGGACTGCAACACAAATAGCAGATGGACTGTCCAGGAGATCCACCTGGAATATACCTTCATTCTTTTGAATAATGTATAACTAAACATAATCTAATTTCATCTGTTGAGCTTTTTATAGATCCAAAAAAATGTGTGTTAGAGCATGCCATTGACATAGGCACATGGTATTTAAAAACCAAGAAGGAAGAGAGTATTATTTCCCTGGAAAGCTATCGTATAGCCTGAAAATAACTGTGAATGACAAACCTCAAGGTAGCAAGCAACTTTGTCCCTGTTATACCCACTGGCACCTTGGTACTTTCTAGTAAGAAGTAGAAGAAAAGTCTTGAAGTTTTAGTGGACACTTTCTTCATTCTAAGTCAAGCCCCACTTATACTTGTCTCCTTTTTTCTCTATACAGGTTTGTAAATGGGCATCTTATAAGACTGTATTTCTGATGCTCAAGAGTCAGAACCTCTGGCACAACGAAAAGAAATGAATAAAGAAAAGCTTTAAGCTGGATGTGGTGGTTCATGGTTATAATCCAAGCACTTGGGAGACCGAGGCAGAAAGATCATGAGTTCAAGGCTAGCCTGGGACATATAATGAGACCCAGTCTCAAAAACCAAAAGCTAACAGATAATAAAGAAAAGAAATGCTTTTAACTGACCTCTTGAAAATCTTGCTCAAACCTCCATAGTTGGACATACTGCTCCATCTTTAACTGGTGTTTTTCCCAAAATCCATCAAAAGCTGTTTCCATATCACGCACTTGAGTCAGCAATCTTAACAAAGAAAAGTCAAACAATTCTTTAAAAACAACCACCCGTGTTTCAGGTATGTAGCTAAATGTGAACATTAAGAATTACAGGCACAGTCATGGTGTGTGACACTTGGTTCAGGTAGATACAATCAGTGTTCACACAAGCTCATTCTGCAAGCAAACTCATATCTGCAGGACAATCCTGGGAAGACATTCTCAGACGTCAGAGGTCCAGAAATACTTTACATCAAAGACATACATTTCCTTTTTGAAAATAGAAATTAAGTAACTCTAAAGCAGCAAGGGAGTACTCACTTATTAACAGTTTGCCAGTCACCACTTATTTGCTGATGATGGTCAAGACGTGAGCTGACAGCACCTTCAGGGGCAGGCATCTCCAGACTCGTTAGCAGAACTCTGCCTTCTTTGGTTACAGCTGTAATATCATTCTGTACAAAGGCACAACACCAGTCATTAGCAATCTGACCTGAGTGAACTAAAGCGAAGGGAATATACAGCTATGGCACAAAAGATGGAAATAGGACTTCTAGAATGACCTTTGTTTTCAGAGAACCCACAAGCTGAAAGAATCCAAGAGACCTCTGCCATACAGTAAAATATTGCAATCACTGTCTTATAAATCCTTACAATCACAAGTATCACCTGCTATTTCTAGCCATCTTTTCTTACTAACAGCAAATTCCAATTTATTCCATTCTATACTGCTAATATTTTAATGTGTTCAAATAAGGCAGTAGTAGCACAATAAACACCACCACACTAGAAAGCATACAGTTACAAATAATGGTTAATGCATATTAAGAAATAACTACATACCTTTCCTACTAATCTTTTTTTGGGGGGGTTGTACTAGTGTTTGAACTCAGGGCTTTGTGCTTACAAGGCAGGCGCTCTACTGCTTACACCATCCCTCCACCCCTTTTTGTTCTGGTTATTTTGGAGATACAGTCTCACTTTTTGCTCAGGCCAGCCTGCACCATGATCCTCTTATGTATGCTTCCTTGCATAGCTGGGATGACAGGTGCAAACCACCATGCCCAGTTTTTTCTGTTGAAATGGGGTCTCACATACATTTTTGCCTGGGCTGACCTGGAACCACAATTCCTCCAATCTCAACCTTTCACATAGCTGGGGTGAGAGATGACAGGTGTATGCCACAGCACCCAGCTATTGGTTGAGATGGGGTCTAATGTACTTTTTGCCTGAGCTGGCCTTGAACCGCAATCCTTCCAATCTCATCCTCCCAAGTAGCTAGGATTAGAGGCATGAGCCCAGCTCTTTCTTACTAACTACTTAATTGTTAATTGACCACTCCCTGCCTTGCATCTTACTTTATTTCACATTTCGCTTTAATTAACACCATGGTGCTTATGTCCTTGTTCAGAAGAACTAACACTTGGAGAATGGTGGAAAACATAGACCATCTTTAGACATCTTAGAGTGAGAGATTTAGACTTCCTTAGAAGAACAAAGGGTCCTCAAAAATTGCAAGCAAAAGTTTAGCAGAAGGAGCTGGTATGGCGGTGTGTAGCTCAGTGGCAGAGTGTGCGCTTAGCATATGTGAGGCCCTATGTTTAATCTCCAGCACCAAAAAAAAGAGCAAATATTTATAAAGCACCAACTATGTGCTAAAAACTGTTATATGCATACTTACTTGATCTCATTCCATCATCACAACAACTGTACACAACACACACATGCGTTCATCATCACCACCACCATAATCATACACCTCATTGTATGTGCAAGGAAACCAAAATACACAGGAGGCCAAGTAAATTGCCTGACATCACACACTGTGAGAAACAAGAAGAGCTTTCTTTCCTTGAGCAGAATTTTGCTTTCAGATTGTGATTTAAACACTCCCAGTTTCTCTCCTCTTCTTAACTGAGACCTGTCACCCCACATAGAGCTCAAACCTGCCAGTGTATCCAGCATGCCTATTATCACATGACGGAGATGAGTCTACTCAGATCCCTGGTACTTGTTCCAATTGCTCATAAACTTTTTGACAAGTGACTCTAAAAGTTCTTTTTGTTGTTGTTGTTCATTTATTCACATGTGCATACATTGTTTAGGTCATTTCTCCCCCCTGCCCCCCTCCCCACCCCTCAGTTCCAGGCAGGTCCTGTTCTGCCCTTATCACTAATTTTGTTAAAGAAAAGACATAAGCATAATAAGGAAGACAAAGCATTTTTGCTGGTTGAGTTAAGGATAGCTATATGGAGAGATAACTACTCTAAGTTTTTGATCATTGTGCTCCCAAATCCATCACAACCTAATGCTCTAGACAGAACTGAAGAGAATGAAATCAATTTGTCACCCCTGGCATACTCTAGAAAACATCAAGTGTGAGACTGTATAGAAAAGAGAGCTTGCAATAAACTGAGTGATGCTGGCTGTGGTCCCAATACTACTTCATGGTAGAGATAAGACTAGAAACCAGGCTCCCTGACTCTTCATCAAGTGCTCCTTCTTCATGTCACACTCTACCTGTGACAAAGTTCAAATAGAACATCTGTCCAACTGTTGACTCTTATCCTTGCTTTCCAAATGAGAGGGCCTTTCCACAAGAAGAATGCATGGTTAAAAAATGACTATAGGTTACTTATTCTGGAACATTTATAAGATACTGTATTTTCAAATGAACAAGTCAAGATAACGTGCCATTTACAAAGAGGACACTTAAGAGTTAACATATCCAGACCATTCTTCTCTTATATATTTTTATAATTTTTATATAATATATAAATATCTTTTAACTTCCCATATGTAACAGTCAGTGTGAAATGAACATATCAAGGGCCTTTCTGGTGCAAGAATAGCCATGCAAAACTTGCTTGCCTGCTCTATCAGACATACCTTCAACAGATGATACTTTTCAGTGTGCAGTGCTAAAATTTCCTCTATTGAAGGAATATCATCTGGCAGCTCTGTCTCAGCCAGTTCAGTTCCAAAGGACTGCAACATCTGAGCCATTTCTTTTACTGTGAGGGCAAAATTTTCTATAGCCTGCAAAAAGCCAATTAATCTTTTATGGAATCTCTGCCAACATACCAAAACCTACATTAATCATTGTATTGGTTGGTATTTGGATTTCACAGCCAACATATATGCTATGAATTCTCTTCTGCTAAGGAAGCTTGACATTACCCTTAGCAATCAACTCTCACTGTGCACCTAAGCCTCTAAGAGACTAAAAGCAAGGTTAAAGGTTTTGTTTTTGTTGTTTGTGGTTCTGGGATTTGAACTGAGGGACACAGGTGTTCACAGCTTGAGCCATGCCTCCGGACCTTTTTGGTCTGGTTATATTGGAGATAAGGTCTGGGATGACAGCCATGTGCCACCACACCCAGTGATTTTCCATCAAGATGGGCTCTCACAAATGTTTTTTGCTCAGGCTGGTCTGAAACCATGATCCTCCTGATCTCAGCCTCCCAAGTAGCTAGGATTACAGGCATGAGCCACAGACAACCTGGCTTAAAGGTCTTCTTGAATGTCCTTTGTTTCTAAATTTCTAGACTTATTCTTTAGACAGTCATGAAAGCTGTTTCTTAAAGATACCATGTACTGAGTAATTTTTTTATGCCCTTGGACACCACAGTGTTTTCCTTATTTTATTAAACTCTGCAATTGGTAAAATTGCTTGATAATAAGTTTCCTTCTGAAGAGAGGTGAGAACACCAAAGCCACTTTATATCTGTTTATTATCATTTATGAACAGCCTTAGTATTCTAAACAAGATGATGGTCTAAGGTACTGGAGAATAAGTTGTCACAATAATTCATTGCTAATACTGCCAAACATCTAAAGGTGTCATCCCAAAGGCTCTGTTAACCTAAAATGGCAAGTAAGGTTGTGTTATTTTGTTTTCAAAATCAATTGCTCACAGACAGAAAGATGGAGGAAAGGTAAAAAACATCTGTTTAGCATGCATCTCAAGGTACCTGCTCTTTATTTAGGCTTCATAGGTTGTTAAAGGCTAGATATTACTAATTTTGACAATAGACCTGTTCATGAATGAGTAAACTGTTGAATGAATTGTTACATAAAGTGTTGAATGAAGAATGGAAATGAGGAAAATGCAACCCTCATTTGGTGAAACATCATTATTTTCTTCAGAAGTCTTCCCATATCTCTGGGAAGTCAAAATACTTAAATCACAGACTCCCATCTGAGAGGCACATGGCCCTTACCTCTTTGTAAGCTTCTACAAGACAAGGACTCTTTACCACAAATCTAATTGCCTTGGGAGCCTCACTAGGATGATAAGCTTAATGGGATCACTTGCACTTATTGAGGACTTGGCATATGCTAGGCAGTGAACAAAACATTTTATGTTTGGCTCTAATTTCATCATCCCAAGGTCTCTAGAAGGTAAGATATTATTATTCCCATTTTACAGTTGGAAAAACTAAGACTCAGAGAGGTTGTGTGTATTGCCCAAGATCATCCAGCTAAAATCAGTAGTTCCAGGGTTTAACACCACCCCTTTGTGTCTTCAAGTTACTACATGGCCATGGGAAAGGATGAGCACAATACAACTCCTTATTCCCTAGGCCTCTCCTTCAATTGCCATCCTCAGTGACTCTTCATCGTTTCTAGATATTTCCTATGAAAGAAAATCAAAATGTTGAATTATGTATATTTGAAAAGTAGGAGCCCCAAAAATCTGGTTTTCCCAAATAGGAAAAATTTCTAGAACTAGATTTAAAGACTAATATGAACTATAGGCTCTACAGTAAGGGCAAAAGCAACATACATTTCTGAAGATGATCCATTCACTGTGGCAGTACTGCAAGGTGCCGCCTAACTCAGGGGTTAATTGCTTGTCATCAATGTATGCCAGCAAATCACTAACTGAGCTCAGCATAACAACCTATATAAATAAGCAAGAAAGATACTGTTAACTGCCCTTCATGACATCCCTCCATTAAACTGTAAAATGAACTTTAGCATACATTTAGAAGCAAGTTTTCGTGTATAAATGGTCCTAACAGGTCTCTCCAGCACATGCCCCCCAACGCATGGAGGTATTACCTTCTTCAGGTAATAACAATTTTTATTTACGAAACATTTCTCTGTAAAGAAAAATTAACCTGCATAGAAACAAAAACACCTAATTCTCCTCCATCTAAAAGTTTTCATTGTTAATGGCCAATCTTATGAAAAAATGTTTACAACAAAGTGAAAGAACTTTGTATAGTAAGTTATTAACTTATAAAAAAGGAGAGATCTTTCCAAAAATGTCAAAATTTATGAGCACTCTATTCCTGACAGTAAACACATATAAAAATATCTTTTCAAAATAAAGAGCATAGTACTATGAACTAGCTCAGGATGTGAGTTCATGAAAGTTCAGATGCATAAAACATTCATGTTTACTAAAAATAAAAGTCCCAACTATACACACACACACAGAGGTATATATATTATATATATATACACACACACATATATATATATACACATATGCACACATATATATACACATATACACACATATATAAGTATATATATACACACATATATATGTATATATATATATATACACACATATATAACATATAACATACAGATTTTTCAAAAGAAATTGTTTTGTTAAAAATTACGTGACCTCTTCCTTTTTTTAACAGAAGCAGAAGTCTCTAGAGCATTTAAAATTTACATTTTTGGAAGACACATTATATTTTATTTCGAATGTTACATAGGCACATTTAAAACATAAACAGCATGGCACAATGTCTTCATGAGAATTAAATGGACAGAACATTTAACCAGTACTCTTACTGGTAATTTGAGCATGAAATCCTCCTGACTAAATCGAAATCCAATGTCTGTGAAAGTTCGTTGAAGAAAACTGGTAGGACGTAAAACCAAAACTAAGTGCAAATTCCCAGGGAAAGAAGCCTGTAAGAGAAAGAACAAAAGAAAGAAAGAAAATTGTCAAAACAAGAACTCAACTGGGCATGTATCAGAAAAATGTAACCGAAGGAAACAAATTTTAAAGTCATAAAAGTCAGCTAAAGGTCAACACTTAAAAAATGGATATTGATAAAATCTAAAAACATGGAAACAGAAATAAAAATAATGCAAGGTTATCAGGTCAGATCCTTGCAATGTTCCTGATATGGAATTTTCTCACACTAGACAAGTAGACCCAAGTTATAAAAAATTAGACTGCCAAACTTCATTTTGAAATTAGTTTTATTTTTTACTTTTTGTTTTTTAATTGACATAAAATCTGCATTTATTTATGGAGTGTAGTATTATAATTTGATATACATAAACAATGTATAATGATCAAATTAAAGGAATTAGCAATTCTATGTCCTCAAATATTAACTCTTTCCTTCTAGTTGTTTGGAAATGTCTACTTAATTATCACAGATTATAATTACCCTACTATGTTACAGGACGTCAGAACTAATTCCCCTTCTCTAACTGTACTTAGGCACCTTCCACACTCTCTCTATCCTCTTTTCCCCTTCCCCTTCCTAGCCTCTAATGACCTTTATTCTACTTCCTACTTCTATGTGATCAACTCTTTGCAGCTTCCCCCAATGAGTGAGAATATGCAGTATTGTTCTTTCTTGTGCCTCACGTGTCACTTAATAAAATGGCCTATAGTTCCATCTATGTTGCCAAAAATGACAAGATTACATTCTTCTTAGTAGCTGAGAAATACCCCACTATGTATATATACCAAGTCAAGTCAAGTTTGTTTATTCTTTTTTTTATTCATATGTGCATACAATGTTTGGGTCATTTCTCCCCCCTTCCCCCACCCCCTCCCTTAACCCCCCACCCCCTCCCTCTCCCCTTCACCCCCTCGATACCCGGCAGAAACTATTCTGCCCTTATCTCTAATTTTGTTGAAGAGAGAGTATAAGCAGTAATAGGAAGGAACAGGGTTTTTGCTAGTTGAGATAAGGATAGCTATACAGGGAGTTGACTCGCATTGATTTCCTGGGCATGTGTGTTACCTTCTAGATTAATTCTTCTCGAACTAACCTTTTCTCTGGTTCCTGGTCCCCTTCTCCTATTGGCCTCAGTTGCTTTAAAGTATCTGCTTTAGTTTCTGTGTGTTGAGGGCAACAAATGCTATCTAGTTTTTTAGGTGTCTCACCTATCCTCATACCTCCCTTGTGTGCTCTCGCTTTATTATGTGATCAAAGTCCAATACCCTTGTTGTGTTTGCCCTTGATCTAATGTCCACATATGAGGGAGAACATACGATTTTTGGTCTTTTGGGCCAGGCTAACCTCACTCAGAATAATGTTCTCCGATTCCATCCATTTACTCGCGAATGATAACATTTCGTTCTTCTTCATGGCTGCATAAAATTCCATTGTGTATAAATAACACATTTTCTTGATCCATTCGTCAGTAGTGGGGCATCTTGGCTGTTTCCATAACTTGGCTGTTGTGAATAGTGCTGCAATAAACATGGGTGTGCAGGTGCCTCTGGAGTAACCTGTGTCACAGTCTTTTGGGTATATCCCCAAGAATGGTATTGCTGGATCATATGGTAGAGCAATGTTTAGCTTTTTAAGTAGCCTCCAAATTTTTTTCCAGAGTGGTTGTACTAGTTTACATTCCCACCAACAGCGTAAGAGGGTTCCTTTTTCCCACATCCTCACCAACACCTGTTGTTGGTGGTGTTGCTGATGATGGCTATTCTAACAGGGGTGAGGTAGAATCTTAGTGTGGTTTTAATTTGCATTTCCTTTATTGCTAGAGATGGTGAGCATTTTTTCATGTGTTTTTTGGCCATTTGAATTTCTTCTTTTGAGAAAGTTCTGTTTAGTTCACTTGCCCATTTCTTTGCTGTTTTTGAACTTAAGTTGCATTTATTCCTACAAAAACAAATTGTCTTAGGAGACAATTTCCTAAGCTAGCCCTGAAAGCCAAAAGGAGCTGAAATAGTGTGTATCTACACTAAACAATGAAAGAAAACTATATTATTGAATCATAGTTTTATTTTCAACCAAGGATTTTCTTTTTATTTTTACTACTCCATGTGTCTAAATGAAAGGTTATAAAACACTGTTAGGCACTGAAATGCACATATTAGAAAGATGAAGTTCCTACCCAACTTGGAAGAAAATGACAGTCCACTGATTCAAAGTCCATTGGTAATCAGTAACTCTATATTATGGTAAATTAGTAAGTGAAATCCATGAGTTAAAATAATATACAAGGAGAAGTGTGAGCACAAAGTCTACCAGACATAGGAAAGTCAAAATGGTCTGGATGCATAAAGAGGAATTAACTTAATCAGAATGTCATGCTACTTCACCAATGTTTCCCTAGCTACTAGAACAATGTCCACACATAGTAGGCAGCCAAAAGTAATTGCTACATGGAAGAATTCCAAAGACAAAGAATGGGAATACTGTGGAAAATTAGTGCAAAAAGGAAATAGCATGGCCCAATATTGATAAACCACCATGTATTAAATGTCTACACCATGTCAAGTAATTTTGACTGTTGGCGTTTTCATAGACAGTGGCTATTTAGGGAGGTGTCTATTAAGTGACCCCTTACCCCACATTGGTGTTGACCATCTTCTTAAAATGCAGGTTCCACATTTTTGCCTCTAGAGTAAGGGATCGATTTGGGGTGTGCTGGTTGAGAAGCAGGGCCTAGGGTGCCCCAGATGCTGGGCAAGGTCAATCCAAATGAACTAAAACTCTTAAAAATCTGCCTACTGAAGAGTTTAGGGAAAAGGCAGACCATTGTTGCCAAAAGCAATCCTGCAGTCTCCATTCTGCCTAACCCTCCAAACCTCTCTGTGCTCACAGGTGATAAAACCTTGATTTGCAGCTAAGTCTGTGCCCTTATTCACTAAACTACCCTACTTCTTTTGTTAATAGCATATATTAATTGTAAAAAGTGAGGGGTTTCCTTGTGATATTTCCATACATGCCATGTATGTACTTCGATAATATTTGCCCCCTGCTACCTCACCTCTTACAGAGGTCCCAGTCAAGAAAGCTAGAGGACAATGATGCTGCAGGGACTAAGAGAGATGGTGTTGCACCATTTTTGAAAGAAAGAGTTCACTGAAGTTCACCAGTTCTTTGCAACTCTTTTGTTTCTTTTTCTTCTCTTCAAGGGATGCAAATTTTAAACCTAATTGTTTTTGTTTTTTAAAAGAATCTACAGCATGATTCTAGTCTTCTTACATTCCCTCTCTGCATCCGTGCATCCATTCACTCATCTTTCTTTACCTTTGTGTGCAGCAATGCTGTGAGATCTTGAAGGTTTTCCCAGAAGTAAAGGGAATCTCTGAAGTTTTGAGCAGCAAAATAATATGGTCATGTTTTCATTTTATTTTATTTTTAAAATTGCCTTGAAGTTCTGGGGATTGAACCCAGGGCCCTAAGCAAATGCCCTACCACTGAGCTATATCCCCAGCCCCTTCTGATTTGCATTTTAGAACAAACACATATGCTTTGCTAATGGAGTGGATTGGATAAGAGTAGAAGCAGTCAGGATGAACTAGGAGGTTTGTACAGTAATACAAGCCAGGGATTCTGAACCAGAGCATTAGTTGCAGAATAAGGGCAAACTTTAGGAGGAACAATTAGTAAAACATGAGGGAATGTGCTTGTTAAGAAAGGAGGGACTAAGCTGGGCACTGATGGCTGATCCCTGTAAACCTAGCTATTTGGGAGGCTGAGATTGGGAGGATCACGGTTCAAGGCCAGCCAGGACAAGTAGTTCAGGAGACCCCATCTCTAAAATAATCAGACCAAAATGGACTGGCTCAAGAGGTAGAGTGCCTGCTTTGCAAGTACAAAGCCCTGAGTTCAAGCCCCAGTCCCACCAAAAAAAAAAAAGAAAGGGGGAAAGGGAGGAGGGAGGGAGGGAGAGAGGGAAGAAAGAAAGAAGGGAGGGAGGGAAGGAAGGAAGGAGGGAGGGAGGGAGGAAAGGAAGGAAGGAAGGAAGGGACTCAATAAAATCAATCTGAAGATTTAGGCCTTGAATAAGTAACTGAGTGAATGGTACAATGCTCACTAAGGTAAGGAACACAAGAGAAGCAGGTTTATACAGGGGAAGCAAGAATCTGACTCCCTTCTGTAGACATTTTGGGTGGGAAGGATCCACAGGGCCTCCAGATGACATCTGTTACAGCTCCACGTAGGGAAGGAAGGAAAGAAGGAAGGAAGGAAGGAAGGAAGTCAAGGCCGGGAGTATAGTCAGGATTCATCAGCCTCAATGGGGAAAGATTAAAGTATAATAAAGCAAAAATATATCAAAAATGTTTCAAACACACTCATATTCAGGCACACTGCAATACTAGCAATTGAAAAAAATCTATAAAACAAAAATTAACAAGACACTGTGGGGGGAAGGAGTTTATGAGAACTCCCTGTACTTTCTGCTCAATATTCTTATGCACATAAAACTACTCTAAGAAAGTAAAGTGTATTTAAAAAGAAAAAGTGAAAGAATAACTTTCACTGAGCTATAAGACTTAGACTCTTGGAGAAAGGATGCTCACGATAGTATTTTTAAAATTCAACCTGAGATGGTGATAAAAGTCATAATATGCTTCGTCATAAACAATGATGAAGCAATGAGAGAATTACAGCAAAGCCAAGAGAGCTGAGTCACATGTAGGTAAATGAAAAGAGCATAAAGTTGAATCAATGAATTACACAATGATTATAAACTGACACATACTGAAATGGTTGTCCAACTCACAATCCCCCAGGCAGCTATATCTGAGTTACCCTTCCCCTTCATTTAAGAAAACCATCTCCCCCGCTATTATTCTTAATACTGGTTCCAAATGAGACTGTTACCCTAGGGTTAGCCTGTTACCATAGGGTCTGTCTTTCCAATGATGAGTAGTGGTTAGTAGTGTGTTAGTATGAGAATTTGATGTGAGTAGGAGC